ATAAGCAGCTTCTTCCTTCTTTCTCCTTCCCTCTTTCTTCCTCTTCCTACCATCCCCCTCCCTTCCTTTCTTCCCTATCCCTATCCTCCTTCCTCTTCCTCCCTCCCTCCCTCCCTCCCTCCCTCCCTTCCTTCCTTTCTAAAGGCTTGCTTTGTTTCTCAAACCCCTGGGCATCTGGAAGCAACAGGCCCTCACTGCTCAGTATGGAGAGTTAGCCCCTACCAAAAGGTGGGGTGCTTGCCACTGCTTTGAAAGCCTTATGATAGGCATTATCATCACTCCTCTGAGACCTGTGATCCCTGGACACCATTCCTCAAGTTGCCTTGCTGTTCCATCAACTTTTCCAAAGGCTTCCTCACTCTCCTCCCTGAGTTCAGTTCCTCTGCCTTCTACTAACCCAGCCACAGACACCTTCCAGCTAGGACTCCCTGCCTAGAGCCTGTAAACCTTCCTGTGCCTCTGACAGGTTAACCTCACCCAGCCAGACCCTCAGCTCACACTGTGGCCTGGTTTTGGCTTCTTCACAGTTCCACAACCTTCTCCCGCACAGCCCACAATCAAGCAAACCTCAACGCTGTTCCACTCACTGCCCTGGATGTTCCAACCTCCGTGCCTGGAATGACGTTCCTTACTCCCAGCAGAGGCCTCACAGCATCAATCAAGACTTCAGAGGCCAAATCCTCACTAATGTTTTGCTAGTTCTGAGCTTTTCTCTGAAGTTCTAGAAGCTTTTATCAAAATCTTATGACACTGATCCTGTCCTTGAATTACCTTCCTTCACAGGCTGCATGTTCTCTGAAGGGGCCACTCGGTTCTGACACAGAAGAGTGAACACAAAGTCCGATGGACTTAGGTCTGAATCCTCCTCAAACATTCTCTGTGGCCACAGGTAGGTTACTTACCGCCTTTAATCACCACTTTTACCAAATGGAAGATTGGCATAACAACCACCCACAATAAAATTGTGGTGAAAATCATGAGATAGAAAAGAAGTATAGGGCACCCAAACGTGTTTACAGATTTTTGTTCTATCAGGTCCAAATTACTTATTTTAAATTATTGCCAGTGGTAATAAAACATGTCATTTCCCCCCACCCTATTTTTTGATAGGCCATAGAATATAAATGCAAACATTTCAATATTTCACAGTTATTCCTATTTTTCTCTAGGGAAGCAGAAAAGGGAAATTTACTTTAAGTATTCTTCCTTGAAATGAAGGGGGGTGGGGGGCGGGTGAAGGGAGAAACAGAGGAAAAAAGTGAGAGAAAGAGGAAAGTTGTAGGGAAGGAGGGAGAGATACTCAACTCTTATATATGAGAAAAGTAGAATGTTACTCAACTGAAAATACAGATGTGCTTCCAAAACTCAAAAAAGCCCATTTTTTTTCAAATTTTAAAATACTCTAAACACGGGTCAGCCTGCAAGTCAAATAAGTAGTTCCCATCTGCTCCAAGCTTTCTGAAGTAACCTGCTCACAGATGAATCTTAAGCAACTACTTGCCTGTTTTCTTAACACGGCTTGGCCAGGAGTTGTGAACTTTGGCTCAGAAGACCTAGTTTAGCAGTGACTAGTGAACGCACCTCACAGCTTAAGCCAGTGGTTCTCAACCTTGGCTGCACATTAGAATCACCTGGGAATCTTTTTAAAATCCTGGTTTCTGGGCCTCATCCTCCGGAAATTCTGTTTCTTTGTTACTAATGTTGTGGCCCCACCCCATAACAAAGAAACAATTTCCGGAGGATGAGGCCCAGAAATCAGGATTTTAAAAAGATTCCCAGGTGAGTCTAAGGTGCAGCCAAGGTTGAGAACCACTGGCTTAAGCCAAATTGGGCCTTGGCCCTCTGCAGGAAAGAGTTATCCTAAATAACCACCGCAAAAGAAAGTGCAGGTGTTCTGTTCTAATCATGCAAATGAAGCTGGAGCTGGCAAAATCCTGTCATTTTCTAAGCCTCCCACAATGAAAATAGCAACTATAAATGGTGAGAAAACATCCTAGGACCTAACATAATATTACTGACTCAGTTCTCTTTTGGGGATGCTGAAGACTTCCTCAAAAAAGAGACCTACGATTACTTTTTTTTTCTTTTTTTTAAAATATATTTTATTGATTTTTTACAGAGAGGAAGGGAGAGAGATAGAGAGCTAGAAACATTGATGAGAGAGAAACATCTATCAGCTGCCTCCTGCACATTCCCCACTGGGGATGTGCCCGCAACCCAGGTACATGCCCTTGACCGGAATCGAACCTGGGACCCCTGAGTCCACAGGCCGACGCTCTACCCACTGCACCAAACCAGTTTCGGCAACGATTACTTTTAATCTTCCACAGAGCTTGGCGTTGCATCAGTCATCTTAAAATCTAAGAACTTCAAAATGCATTAATCCTGAGTAAACTGGATTTTGGTAACATATTCATTCTCAGTGGCTTGGCCAAGTAGTCCATGTGACTAGCTTAATAAGAGGCTGGTTGTTTTCCAGTTGTCAAATAATCTTTTCCTATTTAAGAGTTAGAAATAAAAACATTCCCTCATAAAGAAATTGTAATTTGGGACACAAACAACGTATTTATTTGAAAAAAATTTCCATATAAGTACAATGGCAGAAGCTACAGTAGCTTCTCACTACTAATTCCAATTTGCGCTCACAGTCACTTTTAATTCATCATAAGTAAAGATACTACTACAGAAATCTATTTCACAAGGTACTTAGAAAAAATATATATACAGTCTCTCCAATAGAAAGTTAATTAAAATAACAAAGCCAGGCAATATAAAGCTAAGATACAAAACAAGCTGACATTTATAAACATAAATAAATAAACATGTACAAAAGAGTCTATGACAACAGTGAAAAAGAAAAGCATTACAGTGCAAGTAATGGCGACAAGAAGGCAAAATATCTCAGGATGCTAGACAATGATTCAATACAATGGAGGTTTTTTTTTTTTAAAGGATAAAGAAGAAACAATCCCAGAGAGTCTGAATTGATATTAGTCTCAAAGCTGAGCTGAAACTAAATTTTGGCTCCACAGAATTACATTCCTGTAATTGAATTTCTGTAATTCTGTTCTGAGGGGGTTAAGTGAAGGGGAGAACTGTCCTTAGAACTGAGGGTAGAATTTGGCTCAGTCTTTAAATCCACTTGCAAATGTTTCTATTCAGCTGTTTCTTCCATTTTTCCTTACCTGGTTACTGGACATTTCTAAAATGGAGCTGACATTGTTGTCAAATATGAATAAAAAGGTTTCCCAGATCTGGATAAATATGAGTAGAAATCAAAGTCATTTTTGTAGCTACCTCTTAATCACTGTTAACTCAATATGAACTTTGGGTAGAAATCTCACAGTAGGAAGCTAATTAAATTCTACCATGAATCTCTAAGGCTTGGGGACAGTATATGAAGATTCAGTGACTAAGATTAATTTTTATCTATATATAATTTCTGCCAGAATAAGCAGCCTGTTAATATATGCCTACAGGGAAAGATCTGGCTCTACTGTAATGGATCTTTGTGATTTGAAGATTTACTATCCTTCCCTACTATGTACACCCCTCCCCTGTGAAAGCAAAGCTGGGTAATGCTCATGTCCCCCGGGACAGTGTTCCACCCTGCTGCGAAATGGAACAGTAATAAAACCCACCCCCACATTGTCTTTTAATCCATTCAATCTGGCAAACAGCTTCATGACTGAGGATCAGCAAAAGGTGAGAGGCCCCTTGGTGGCTGCACAGCCTGGATGCTAAGTCTCAGGCTGAGCGCTATCTGCTTTCTGCACAGAGGGAAAGGCCCCCAGGTGCTCAGTTCTGCCTGCTGCCTTTAAACAGATTGGCTCCAGAATGGCTCAACTTCCCAACACATAGCCACCTCCCAGAATCTGATACTTCCCAGATAACCAGAGCAGATGTAAGGGTACAGCACGTACTGAGACCAATCTGTAAGAAACTGGATACAAATCCATCATTTAAGAACAAATAAAATGTGGTCTCCTAAACATTCACTAGCAAGCATATTACTCAGAATAGTTTGAAAATTAAGTAAGTTGCTTAATATTATGCATGGCTTGTAGGCAGAAACCTAATCCATAAATAACACCATCTATCTTACCAGACCTCCTCTGGCTCCTATAATCAGAGGACTTATGTACAAATAGTTTTTCGACTAGCAATTGCAGACCCACATGTTTATAAATTATTTTGATTATGATAAGTCACCCATTTGTCTCAGTTTATATTCCTTGGAACAAAACTCTTAAAGGGGAAAGTAAGAGGCTTTTCATTTGTGCAACTGCAAATGTCTTAAAGTCTGCAGAGCAAGGGTAGGACCCGAGAGTCTCAATGATTATATTTCCTAAAAGGGAGAAACTACGGCACACAGCGTGCCTAATGGAAACTCTCATTCCTTCCAGAGCCTGTGGGCTCAATATTCAGTAGAGGAGCAACGCAGAGATATAACAGACTCATTCTTCAATAACTACTGGGAGGTTCACATTAATGAACCACCAATGCCAAATTTGATTCAAATGTATGGGGTTAAGTGATAATTAATGATGATCCTTAAGCTTTGTGTCTTGAATAGGATAAGTAAAATAGTATACATTTGCATGGCCTCATATTAACTAGGTCAAAATTTGGTGAATTCTTTCTTTCTTAAGCATGTTATGTTCCTGAAGGTTAAACAATTGGTATGGTAAGAAAAAATTCCTATCTGTTCTTCAGGTCAGACATTCTTTCGTATCTATGGTCAAACTTTCACGAAAAAAGAGGATATATGCTACTTCATTCACAGAAACTAGCACATTTCAGGAGTTGCAGGCATCCACAAAAGTTAGAAATATCATTATGCTTTGATTGTTGAGAAAGATTTCAAGGAAGCAAATGGCTAAACCCAAACCTAACTATTGGGTGGGGCGTGAATGAGCTCTAAACTAGGGTTTGTCCCTAGCTCAGCCTCTCCCTTCTCCTCTAACTTTAATGTCTCCCCCTGAGTTCTGATCAGTGGAATTCAATTTTATATTTTAAAAATTCATTTTTCCTGTGGCTACTGAATACTGTTGCTCTCAGTACTGAAGTTTTAGTGATGATGGAAACTTCCCCATGGAAGAAATACACTGAAAAGACAAATTTTGAATTTCATAAAAGCATTTTTAACAAAATACATTCCTCATAGATATGGAGTTACCTAGGTAACGGCACATTTACATCTGCTAGTCACAGTGTTCACTGCTTGCAGATCACATTTCTTTCATATATTAAAGACATTAAAACTTTGTGCTGTGGCTGAAGGTGTCTGACATGATAATGTTTTTATAGAAGTTATCTGAATGAGGATTGCAATAACCCTTGACCTTATCAATGACCTGATGGACAGGGATGATTGATGTTTGTTCTCCATCAGCATGGGTCAGTTTTGATGAGGACTTGTCCATGGAAGCATTGTCTGTAAGAAATGATACAAGAAATTAGGCAAAAGGAGCTGGTGAAATGCCTAAGGGCCACCACACTGAACACTGTATTTACACATTAAAAAAATACAGAAAGGAAATAAAACTCTGGTTCTCAAGTTAGGTAATAGGCAGCACTGAAAATTCACATTTTTCCCCTTCAAAGTGCATTCCTATGGATAGATCAATGGCAATTTGCCTTCTAGTAATATGTGTTAGAGTTTGTTTTAAGAAATGTTCCTGTGGTGGTATTTTTCAAAGATCTGATGACTAATCAGAAAATTGCTGCAAAGAAAAAAATGTGGCAAGGCTCAAAAGAAAAAGTGACAGATTATATAACAAATGAATAAAAAGATGCTGAAATATTTATGGAAGAAATGACATGATGTCTAAGATATGTTTCAAAATAATACTGAGAGGGAAGGCGGATAGGTGAAGGGGATTCATTATACTATCCTCTCTACTTTATATATATATGAAATTTCTCATAAAAAAATTAATTCTCACACGCAGATGTGTATATTGATTTTTAGAGAGAGAGTAAGGTAAAGAGAGAGAAAGAGAGAGAGAAAGACAGTGATGTGAGAGAGAACACCAATTGGTTGCTTTCCATACATGCCACACAAGGATTGAACCCATAACCTGGGTATCTTCCCTGACCAGAGTCAAACCAATAACCTTTCAGTATACATGGTGACACTCCAACCAACTGAGCCACACCAGCCAGGGCAAAATTTTTTATAAAGTATAATTTAAAGGAACTTTGAGAATAAAAGTCAATGAAAATAAAGATAAAAAGGATATTTTGAACACATTTTCCAATGGTTGCCTTGTAAAATGATTGGAATATAGAAAAAATGTTTTATTAATTATTTTTAAATTAAAGAAATTAAAATTGTTTATCAGAAACATTTAAAGTATATGTTGTTATTAATTGTGCTAATCTCAGAATTATGTTATTGCTGACAACAATATGAGAACAATGGATAGAAATAAAGGAATGCTAAATACATTTTTGTTCTAAATCTCCCAATACCATATATTTAAATATTAAGTCCTAGACACAAAAGCTTCTAAAATTGGCTCAGTGTTCTGAAACTCAATTAAGCCCTATTATCTACAAATACATATGGCTGTCTTCATGTGCGTAACTTATGAATATCTTGTATATATCTTCCTTGCTCCTTTTCCCAACACACTTTGGAGAAAATTTCTACCCTAAAATTAACCAGAGATTTCACACTGAGGAAGGAGCAAAAATGACCGTCTACAACATACTAGTTCCCTACAGTTGTAGTTTTCTAGTCACTGTGGAAGAGACAAAAGCTCTATCATGAAAAACCACTTCTAGAAATCATGGCTTCAAAATTGGAATGCTAATGTCCTGACATTTTTTTGTTTTGTTTGTTTTGAGTAAGTTAGACCCAGTACGTGAGAAAATATTACAAATTCTTCAGTAATTGGTAAAATCCATCAGAGTTATATCTATTGTCTTTGGAAAAAATTCAAATTGTTAAATTGCTTAGTGTTGGAACAAAAACTATATATATTAAAAAAAAAGAAGGCTAAAATTGGAAATGGTGTGTTCATCCCACACTCAAGGGAGCAAAATGGATGGTTTATGGGAAGAATGGGCAGATGGAAGCATGGCAGAATGATTATGCCCCAGGATTGGAGAGAAAAAGGCTGAGGGCATTCATTGTATAAAAGCCCTCCCACTTTTAGCTCTGGGCAAGCCGATTGGTTCTGTGCTTTCCCTCAGTTCATACATTCACTAGCCATTGGTTTTCTGTTGGGGGTTTTTCTATTGAATTAAATTTCAATAATGAATAATTTTTTGCTTGATGTTTTAAAACAAACTTCAAGGGTATATTCAGTCTGCTTTTTTGATAACTTCTAGGGTCATGTAGCTTTTAGAGATTTTAACCAGCTCCATTCCCAATATGTGACCCAATTTTCTGGATTTTCATATTCTAATAAAAGAAATTCTGAACAATGTCTGTATATCAAAACAGAGTTGGGCAAAAGTAACTTTACAGTTGTGAATACACAAAAAGAATTTATTTTTGGTATTATTTATTAATCATTGTGTTATTTACCATTTGAACACCTATAAACTTTCTTCTGTCCCACCCTGTAGATGCAGTTATCAGTCCTCTGGTTAGATTATTACATATGGGCAGTATGTATTTTGATTATAGTTGCAAGTTTGAAAACCAGGGGCTAGGGAAATGAACTACTGTTTGACCTGTGCTGAAGTTTTAAGCAGATAAGATCCTCAAAAAGCAGGGTAAGAATTGACAACTTCCATTTTATGTCTTCTATGAATGTACCATGACAACTCCAGTAATTCATCAGAACAATGAAAAAGTAAAGAATTTCACTTTACACCTTTCTAACACAAACCTCTCAAGCACTGCTTTTATTTTGTTGTTATTGTACTTGATATGAAATTTACTAACTCCAGAGCATGGTACATTTCCTAGAAGGAGCGGCTTGCAGACACCCCCATGCAGACAAGAGCCAGCACAGCAAACAACCACTTGAAATTTCAGAAATTCCAGCTCAGGGCAGGAATGTCATTGTGCTAGCTGAGAAGTATTGTAAAGAACAAGCAATTTTGCTGGTGCAGCAAGAGTCTTAGTTTAATTCATGCAAATATTCTCTTATTACCTTGCAAAAAAATCATGCATTCAAAAAAATAATAAAGGTTTACCTGAATGATCCACTTTTGTTGAAGGAATGCTCTTAGAAGACATTATCTATACCATAAACATATGAATTTCTAGATCAATTCCAAGAAATAAACCAACTAGATATCCATGATGATATGCAGTGACTCCTTGCATACTCCAAGTGACCCAAGTAAACCGGCAGTCCCACTGAGAACTGGCTAGGTAGCAGAAGGCCATTTGTACATCAGTTGATGGGAGACCAGAATGTGATATATCATAGAAGTATGTCATATAGCTGACTATATCCTTATGCCCGTTGACACGAACCCATTTAATGCCAAGAGTTTTATTATGGCAAGCAGAAAAATATTAATACATTCTTTAAAAAAAACACATACACAATGTTTTGAAACAGTAAAGTTTTTCTTAGGTATCTATCTTCATTTCTGTATTTCCTTTAATCTTCTAGTGAGTTTTCCCATGATTCTTAATATTTTCAAGTATCTCATTAATGCTTCCAAAATGCCCTCTGTTCCAAATTATCTACGTTGTTATCTTCTCTCCCATTTTTATAGTGGCATTTCTTGAGGCCAGCCATTCTCAGCTGTGTTAGGGGTAAGATAATCATTTCTAATTCCTAGTCATTCATAACTGGCTTATCATGTATAAATTATTTGCATTTTTGAGGGGGATGCAAAATGAGTATCTAATTTTGAGGTTGAATATCTTAAGTGAAACATTCATTCATTATAAATAAAAGATAATTTGTACCAGAAAACTACCAATTAGGTAGAATAATCTATTTTAGACGATTTCAGATAATCCCTATTTATTACACAGCAGGAGAGCACAGACCTCTTATTTTTAGGCAAAGCTATTTGTGTACAGAACTCAAAGCCTGCACCTTATTCTGGAAGGGAGTTTATAGTTTTTATTAAACATCCTTACTTTAAGAATCACCTAAATGGTTCCAAGTTCTCAGGTCTTTAATTAATTTTGGAATTAACAAACTCTCTAAACACTCAAACATGTTTCTACAGTGCTAACTTGAATCCCAGGCAGTGGCTATTCCACTGGTGAGGCACTGACAGAGGCACAAGCAGGGGCAGGTGGAAGGATTCAAATGTACATAAGGGTCATTTGAAATTCAAGGGTTTGCAATGTGAACATTTACACATCACACAACACACTCCCTATTTGCAAACAGCTGAAGATGAATCTTCTCTGTGCCATTCACCTCTGTTCAATAGCTAAACAAATTCAAAATTAAGGTTGTTTGCATTATCCTTTTGGACACATCTTTAATTAGGAAAGTGCTGGGTGCTAAATATTGATTGAGGTTTAATTAGTATGTAAAAGTAGCAATTCTGATATTTTCCTTTGAAATTATTAAAAGATTACACCTTATCCCACTGGTCACTGGCTATCAATACTGCAAAATCATCTTTATTTCCATGTTGTCTTCAGGATTGTTCATTTCATGCTTAGTGTTAGAATGTGTGATCATTGCAAATATTATGAATATACAGATTAACAAAGATACAATATTTCTCACCATCTTGTATCCCTTCCCAAATATGATGTTCTCTATTCTTTCACAATTTTTTTGTTTAATCAGTGATTCAAACAGTAATTGCCAATCACATTTTCAATGTTTAAAGTTTTAAATCCTAAAGGTAACATATATCCTGGATAGTGTTTCTTTCTGTTCCCATGCAAGCTTGCCCAGTAACTTTAATACTATGTTGAAATAATCTCAACTCAACTTTTATTTACTATTTTAAAATAAAACAAGTAACTGTTAAACAAGATAACTATAATTTTTTAAAAGAAAACTAAGTTTTCATTGGAGGCAATCACAATAATATTCAGAGCCAATAACAGTGGTTCTTAACCTTCCTAATGCTGCGACCCTTTAATACAGTTCCTCATGTTGTGGTGACTCCCAATTTCATTGTTACAAATTGAACATAATTAAAGCATAGTGATTAATCACAAAAACAATATGTAATTATATATGTGTTTTCGGATGGTCTTAGGTGACCCCTGTGAAAGGGTCCTTCGACCCCCAAAGGGGTCGTGACCCACAGGTTGAGAACTGCTGGCCAATAACATTATGGCTATATAGATTCAATTTAGGTTATAAAATCTAAAAAAAAAGACAAACATCTACAAAGGTACTGGATAAGGTCTTCAAGTAAATTTTTGTCTACGTTGCCAATGTCGTCAGTAAAAATGTGATGAGAACTGAATCAGAGAGCACCTTTGCATGGCCAGGACTCACCTGTGTGACTGTTCCTTTTGAAGTAGGTGGTAGAGCTGCATTTCGATTTGGATGTAAGATAGGTTGAGTTGGAACCAATGGAGCTTGAGGACAACGATTTCCCTAGATTATCAGAACTTTTCTTGATGGTATTGGTAGCTGTCTTACTCCAGTCTGAAAGAAATGACATCTCTCCATGAAACTGCTGTAGAAGGAATATGGCCTGAAGACTCATCACTACACTATTTTTTTAAAAATTTTTTTTTATATTTTATTGATTTTTTACAGAGAAGAAGGGAGAGAGATAGAGAGTTAGAAACATCGATGAGAGAGAAACATCGACCAGCTGCCTCCTGCACATCTCCCACTGGGGATGTGCCCGCAACCCAGGTACATGCCCTTGACCGGAATCGAACCCGGGACCCCTCAGTCTGCAGGCCGACGCTCTATCCACTGAGCCAAACCGGTTTCGGCACTACACTATTTAAGTAACACTTAGAACATTAGATGCAAACAACATTAAACTAAAGAAGTAGGTAAGTTTCTTACTTTGACCCTGTGTAAAATATTGTTTGAAATCCTACTTTAATATCCTAAGGGTGAGAAGTAACCACTGATGGTAATAAAAAAGGTAATACTTTGTATTAGGTATTTCATTTTACAGTATTGAAAAAATTCTCTTGGCCTAATCATGTAAAATTAGAACCTCAAAAATGTGAACAGGGGACAGTGGCATAGTGGAACTTCTGGACATTTGACTTATTAAGTTAGACAGGAAGCCTTGAGCAGCCCACTTAACCAGTGTGGATTTCATGATTCTCCTTTGCCAAATAGAAGAGTCATGCCCAGAGGCCTCAGATCTCTTGAATTCCTAATATACTAAGACTCCAACCAAGCACCGTCACATACCCCACCTTTACAACTTGCTACCACTGGGACTGGGTTTCTCTGGCAATGGAAGACCCAATAACAAGCATTTCCCACTATTGCTCTTAGACGTAAAAACCAGTTATCAGCTTGCCCCTTACCTGAGTTGTCTGCTAACCGAAATCTACCACAGCAGAGATGCCGCCTCCACTGTTTCTGAACGTTCTCCTTCATAGCACAGTGGAAAATAAATATAAATAAGCCTGTGACAAAAGAAAATATTAACATTTAAGCCAATGGACACATTTTAAAGATAAAGCTTATGAAACACATAGATTAATTCTAATTTAAACTTTTTATACATCTGAGTTGCTAAGAGGAAGATACCGAGGAATCTTGAAGTATGTGGTAGATGTTGTAAACCTTTAGGAAAGAACAAAACCAGAATTGTTACTTGTATCTGATTTTGTCTTTGCCTGTCCTGTTCAGCATTCCTTATAACCTAAAGTTTAAAGCAATATTCAATTTACGAGATATTTAATAAGTCCCTTACATTTGTTTTAAGATTATATGAAAATATTTCACAAAATTTAGAAAAGAATGTGAAAAACAGAAAACATCCTCTCACCACCTATTTCCATTTGTGTATTCTAAGCTATTTTATGTATGCATATTATTGTAAGTTTGGGCCATAGAAAAATGGTATTTTTGTAGGTCAAAATGGCCACAAATCAGCAAATTCATGTGGCTTCACCTGCTTTAGTTTCTCAACATTTTAATGCAGAAATATTTCTGTATTGTGAAACAGTCCTCTTATTTATGGTCACTCCTTGTACCTATCAAAAGCTAACTGCATCATTTGTGCTTTGGAAGCCAATACCTTTTAACTTTTCAAGGAATTTGCTTCTGCATTTTAACCTCTCTTTACTGTTTCACCAATTTCTTCCTCTATGCTTGGTTATTCCCATTACTTACAAGCATTTTCTAGTAACCCTCTTTTAAAAACAAACAGTAATTTCTCCTTTAACCCCCAGCTTCAACTTCTCCATTCCCTTTCCCAATACAATATCTTGAAATGTTAACTTCTGCTGTTTCTCATTTCTTCTCTCCTTAACCCACATCCACTATGCCACTCCAACTGCTCTGGGGAGGTCACACCCTGACTAAATGACTGCTTTTCAAAGCCTCCCACACCTACAGCCCCCAATTCCCTCGGGGGTTTGCTAACACAGAAAATCCCTTTAATAACTAAACATGCTTTGTAGTGTGAATCACCAAAATAAATAATTTGAATTGGTTAACAGATCCTTTTAAGTTTTTAAGAGGTGGTGGCAGTTTCAGAGTAAAGAGAGCAGCAGCATGGAGCCTGTGGTAGGGTCGGCACAGGTCACAGATGAAGGCGGCTGTGTGGTGGAGAGGAGGGGGCCCTCTCCATCTCAGGTGCACCCTGTGTTTGTTGGCTGGGGCAGAATTTGTTCCTGAAAGTATTTTTGTCACACAGCTGAAAATACAGGTAAACATGTGTTCTTAAACACTGTTTAACAAAATCACATATTAGAGCTGAAAAAAGATTATAAACTCCAGTTGAGGGCATTCTTTCCTAGGCATTAATCCAGGCATTGCTCAATGTAGGGCCTTGCTTTGAGCAAATGATTTCTTTCAGTTGAGGGAAGAAGGTGAAATTTGCTAGAAGTTGCTTCCTTTAATAGTCAGTAGTTTTTATAAATGTTGTACATTCTGGAGGAAATCTGTTCTCAGACTTGTTCTTTTGGCCTTACGGGGATACTAAAAAGTGACTTACTTGAGGATCTCATGTGGACTATATTCACAGCGGAGGAGGTTAAATGTAAGATAAAACGAACTTCATGAAACCACCCTTTAGATTGTGTACTGCTGTCTTAAATCATAATGAATTATATAGCATTAGATGACATTCCTATTTTTAATCAACCACATTTGACTGGAAATACATAGGCATCCAAGAACTTGAAGAGACAATGGTACATAAATTAGATTTAAATCTGATACATCACCTCTAAAATTATGTGATAGAAGAGAAGTCACTTAAATTCATCTCCATCTCCCACTCTGAATTGTGATGCAGTGCGACACAATTAGATAATAGGCATAAGAAATTAGAATTCTTAGGAATGAATATATTCTTAAATTCCAAGGTAGTATGAAAATTCTTTTGTCATGAGACACATTTCCATTTTAAATCAGAATAGAATTCTCATAATATGTTGTTTGACCATTTGTGATAACCAGCCCCTTTCACCTGAATTTAGGTTAGTCTGGCAATAAATACAGCCAAATTCTTTCAGGACAAAACATCCTTGTAGAGCTCCACTGTGGGGAATGTCGTAGGTATCCATCCGGAAGAGTACATGTATGCAAATTCTAACTCTTCAGGAAGGAAAAGTAGAAAATATAGTCAGAGAGCCAAGGCCCTTGGAGGCCAACGTAAGAAAACAGATGGTTATCCCTCTTCAATTTTGAGGGTTTTTCCTCCCACCTCCTTACAGATATGGGTGCAGAAGCAGAACTAAAATCATTAAGAGTTGTATGTTGACATCCAAGGGACTATGTCCGATTTCTCACTCTCATCTCTGCTCCTTTTCTGTCAAATATTTTCCCTTTGAGAATCTTCATATCAACCACATGGCACCTCAGAGGCTCTTCATAACACCTGGAAAAATGTGCTGGTCTAGCCTTCTTAGCTGTGACTGGGGACCAGAATAATCAGCCTTTGCTCTTCATCGTGTGTCTTACAGCTATCTAACTGATCAGGGAGAGGGAACATTGCCCATAAAAGTTTGGAAGTTAAAGTGGCTCAAAGATTGAATTCAGAGTTAAAGTCCTTATTTCATCTTGACAGGCTAGCACTAGTTTCATGAAACCTTTATATCTCACAAAACAGAGTTCATGATGGTCCTTTATTGGTGAATGGTAGCCTGAAAAACCACCAGTCTGATGACTCTAAGCCAAAGTTCCTTAGAAATAGTTTCTTAAGCTTAGTAACTGCCTGGATTCTTTATTTTTGGATTCCTTATTTTACCTATAGGGACCCAGACTTCCTGCTAGAACAAGAAGAAAAACAAAAACTTACACCTACTTTAAATACCTTTTTTAAAAGAATAGTTATTGATTTTTTGGAGAGAGGAAGGGAGAAGAAACTTCAATGTGAAAACACAACCTTGATGGGCTGTCTCCTGCACGCCCCCTACTGGGGACAGAGCCCACAATCCAGTCGTGTGCCTTGAACTGAATCAAACCAGCGATCTCTTGGTGAGGGTGAATGGGATGACACGCAACCAACTGAGCAACACTTGCCAGGTTTAAACCTACTTTAATTGAACAGATTCCTGACCATTCCTTACCTGCTTATCCCACCCTCACCCCTGCCTTCTCTTCCTTTACCTCCATCTTCCATTAGTCAGTCAGAAGTATCTGCTCACTTAAAAAAAAAATTAGAGCAATACGTGAATTCAAGATGTCTTAATTCTTGGTAAATTTTACAATTTCCTCATAAAATAAATGATATTTTCAACTGTGATGGAGGAAGGGTGTTCAAAGTATGTGAGAAGGTGGGCCTGCCTGTTAATCCTGCCTAGGGAGGGAACGTGAGGAACCCACTTCCTCAAAGCCTCTGAGAGAAGCAGGCCACAGGCCAAGGCTGGGTCAGCAAATCTGGCAACAGGACACTTGCGAGTGCTCTAAACTTGGAGTCACAAACATTCTGAAAAATCTCAAGTAGTGGATTTGCTTTTCATACTTCCTCCTTTCACCTACCTTAGGACACATTCCAGTATCATATTAGGAGAGAGAAAAAGCCTACTTGTAAGTAATGGCATTATATTCACTGTAGATTGTATGGGCTTGTTTCACCTTTGTCTTTATTAGAGCTACTAGTATTTATTTAGGGAAAAAAAGAGCATCTTAGCCTCAGTATTTTGGCTGGGAATCTGGCTCCCACCCAGAACTCACTCCCTTTGGTTGATTCTGGCAAAGACATGTGGCTTTCTGGGGCAGATGTAAGATGAGTGGCCAACGGGATGTTCTCAGATCTTTAGCCTGATTATCAAAAGTTTTAAAAAACTGTTTCCCTTAGATATGAAAATGAATGCTACACAGCAAAATTTGGGGCAACACAGATTGTCATTCTTTTGCTGCTCTTAAAGGTCACTTTCAAGAAATCTGGTGAAGAATAATAAAACCAAACCTAGAATCCTCATCTCCTAATGAGTTCTTGACCAACTAAAGGCCATTGACACTTCCAGCAAGATTGCCATCAATAAATTCTGACAAATGGCCTAAACTGACTTCTTTTTACCCTGGATAAGAAAGAACCAGAAACACAATGAAGGGGAAGACTGCAGATACAGGTAATGTCAGGGATGTGGGATAGAATCAGAACGGGTAATAATGATGAGTGATAAGTGGTTCTGGAGATTTGAAGGGAAAATCAGTCAAGAATTAATAAAATCAGGCATTTGGGCAAAAGAGGTCCCATGCTCTACATAACTGACTTTTGACAGAAGAGGTCTAGATGACCTCTGAGCTTCCCAGCAAGCTTGAGTCCAAATCTCCGAACAGCTCATTTGTTCTGTTGTCTCACAGACATAGCCAGCTGGCTGCTGGGCTGGGGATCATTCAGGTTTAGGAACCTCCTGAATCCTCCTTTCATACTACCAAGGTGCCCCTTAGAAAATTACTTCTCTGTGGCACAAAATTCCATGCCAGAAGATGAGTAATTTATTTCCTTGATGTGTGTAATGTCTCAGCCAACACAATGTCATTTGGGATGTTTGGGTATAAAGGTGGTTCATTGCCTTGGAGCCAATTCACTATGTGTGTTGTATGTGTGATTATGACACAGCTTAACTCTCAGGAGGCTTCTAGCCATGGGTTAGAAAATTTGATTTAATATTCTTACTTTACTAAAAGTATTATAATAATAAATATATTTTCCTTAATGATTTTTGCTGAATAAGGGTAAGAGATTAAATTCACATTTATTCATTAAACATGTATTTACTAACAGGTTTTTTGTTTTTGTTTTTGTTTTTAGTGGAGGCAAATATTCACTTCCTAGAAACTTTCCCTAATAATGTACCTTTTTATTTCCACATATGGTACATTGCAAATATTACACTGTCAGACTCAAACTGATATTGGGAAAGTCACTGACTCCCATGAGCCTGTTTCTCACTCTGTAAAATGGAGAATATACCCTCTACCTTCCAGACTTACTGTAAGAATTATATCAGGTGACAGATATTACAGGAAAGTGCTTTGTAAACAATGCACTGAACAAATATGTCATTTCTGTTGCTCTGATATCTTAATGTTATCAAATTAATTAACAGCAAACATTATATCTAAGCAGGCTGATAATGCCCTTCTGTGATGGCCATCGGAGTTTCCACTGATAGAACCACATGTTGCATTGTATTATGTTGTCACATACGTGTACAGAATATGGGCTGATGACACCTGAGACTATTAATCAATGTTGTTTCTCATGCCTGGAAAAGGAAAGTTGAAGACTGAGCTCTTAATATGGGGCTAGACTTTAGATCCTGATGAACTTGTTAGAAGAGGTAAACTTCCCTATACATTGAAGAAGCCTGATCTAATTGAAAGTGTAACATACTTTTGTACAGTTAACGGAAATATACAGTTGGAGATATGTTCACCCCTTGTATAAGAAGCAGCTATGTGCACGTGCTGCTCCTTAGAGCAATAATTCAATCCTACAAGTGCACTGACATTGCCAAAGGACAGAGATGCCATCAGGATTCTGGCCAACAGCTCCTCAGCAACCAGGGAGTTGCCTTTTATTTCTTTAGGATGAGTTATGTATTTGTTGAAATAAAGGCTAAGGTTCTCAGGCATGTGAATTATGATATACTTTTATCAAACATCTGTTCTCTTTTGAATAGCAATTTGTATGCCATATGATTTTTCTCAAGTTGTATTCTTTAGAAAAATATTAAAATTTCTGATAGTTTTATCCTGGGAAAGCAGAAAGGATAGCAAAAGCATATAGGTATGGAATTCCACCATGTTTAGAGGAGATATATTTATCTTTTCATCATAGAGAAAAAACTCGATGAAACAATTAATATATAACAAGTGAACTAGGCAAAATAAAAAGAACAAAACAATACATTGTGGAAGATTAGAAAATAATAAATTTGGTTCTAGCCTTGATGCAATTCATGATTTCATTTGCTTCATCAAGTAGGTAAATTTTTAGTTATAGCCACACAGATTATAATAATTTTCTGATATTCATTTCACATGATTTTGCCATTAAATGTATAGTTATAAGTACATATAAAAATTAAAAATATATAAAATAATAAAAATAGAAAACATGAAAAGCAAAAATAAAACATATAAAAGAAAAATAAAGCATTTATAAAACTGTTATAGGCTATACTGATTTATGTGAGTACCCATATAATTATACATGTACATATGTATTTGTATACAAACACATACATACATTAAAAATATATACATTTCTAAAAATTTTAGCTTTAATCAAATAAACATTTATTTTTAATAATTTAAATGCTTTAATCAAATATTTGAAGACATATACAAGAGTTAGAAGAAATTTGCTAGCAAAAGTCACTCCTGTGATATACATGCCATGACATCACTGTAGACTCAGCTCAAACACCTGTCCCTCCTGCAGGTGCCACGTCTATAGTACTACAGCCATTCATTATCAATTGATAACTTGGGGCATTCATGATGAAAATCCTGCTGATTTTCAGATGCTCAACTATGAGCTAAGCTTGAGAAAATTAAAGTATGTTTGGCATAGTTTTAGTTTTCAGAATATTGTATTACATTTTCAGTCTTTGGCCATTGCCAATTCTCATAATGATAGGCTTCAATGAACTATAAGATCCCATTAATAAAAAAGACCTTTTACCCAAATCATTAGAAACATAAGAGTTTACTCTAATGAACTAACCAATGATGAGTGTTTTGTAGTAGCCTACTTCCTAAATATCCTTGACTCTTTCTCACATCTTTACAGCTCCCCCATTCCCACTACAATCTAAAATACTGTACCACGTTATTTTACCTGGATCATTGCAATAGCTTCCTATCTACTCTACCTATAGACGCTACTGGGTACTCTAATCCATTCTTTACATTATTCCAGATTCCTTTGCAAGATGTACATCTGATCATGTCATTTCACAGGCCTAACACGTTTCAAAGACTTCGCGTTGCTCTCATAAAGATCAAAACACAGGGCCTTCTGGTCTAGACCCAGACTCCTCTCTCTGTGCCACACTGCTCTCTCTCCTGCTCTTTCTCGGTTCTCGGGTTATATAATCTTTCTATTAATTTCTTGAGCAGGTGTTATAATTACCAACTGCAGCAGATCCTTGAATAATGTCATTTCATTATAATGTTGATGAGATGCCATAGGAACTTCACTTTAGTTTATATCAATTAGCTTATGGTAAAATTGGTTTCCTTATACTTCGTTTTGCTTAAAGTCATAGAACCTATTAACCACATTATGTGAGGTCTTTATTATACATTTTTTTTTGCACATGAAGTACCCTCTACCTGAAATATTCTCTTCTCCACTTCCACTCCCAACTTTCACCTAGTTAATTCCTATTGATCCTTCAGAGTTCAGCTTAGAATTCATGTCTTCTGTCAATTGCTCTTAACACCACCAGGTACTTTTATATGGTGACATAATTGGTTAATGTCAATCTCTCTTACTAGCATATAAGCTCCATGAGGCAAAGGGATCACATAAAGTTTTTCTTGTTGTCGTTGCCTTTTTTTTCTGGAATAAAGAATATCAGAAAGAAAAGAAATAGACATAATGTAGTCCTACTACTACCTGAGCTCATGTTTCACTCACTGAATTGTTTCTTTAAATTGTCTAAATTCCATGTTTCTTTTAATAAAGCATATACTTTTAACAACAAACCTCTCTTGAAAGATTCAGAAAATGACTCAAATCAAAATCATTAAGTGCCTTCCCATGGTGTCTTGAGTAGTGTTTGTACAGGCTTGGCCAGTAAGCAATTAATTGTAGGTAGGCTTGTGCTATGTATCCCTGCCTTTTAATTTTAATTTCCTTTTTAGGAGGTGTTTTAATGTCATTAGATGTGCAAAATCTGTTCTGAATTTATATAATTTAAATTTAATCTTAAAAGTCAGTGATTTATGAAGGATATAAGTTAATGATGGTTAATAATATTTTTCCCTCCTGACAGAAGACCTACGCTGGGAAAAATAAAACATCCCATTTCTCATGAATGGAAACAGAGCTGAACAGACAACTATGGCTCTTGGAGGTTATAGAAACTGCCAGGAAATTCTACAAGCAAAAACTAGGTTGGGCTGGCAGATTAATTTGCTTTTCATGTACTATCCTGAAATATAAAACCATCGAATCTCTAATGTTAATGGACATTTTTGTCAATATTTATCTAGGCACATTTATGTTGGATATTACAGAACAGATTAAATACAGGAAAAATCACTTTACAAAGCTAGATCCCAGTGAAGATGTGTGCATAGGCTACCTCTTCAGTTTCCACCTTTTGGAGGTACACTTGAGGCTTATTATCCTATTTACTGAAGATAATGAGCCCACATATTTCCACCTTTATGGGAGAGTGACCCTGAATAAAATTTGTTGAACCAATTAATGTGGATTTATGCCAGAGGAGCCTCAAGTTGGATTTAGGCCATACCCAAAGACCCTCCCTTTCTTTATCCAGCAATCCATTTATTCTTTTAATAAACAAGTGTTCAGCACCAACTATGGGACTTTTTTTTTTCCCTCAGGAGCTCATGAGCTAATGGGAAACCTAAGAGGAAAAGCAAAGCAGATCTGTACAGTACAAAGCAGTAAACACTCTCCTGCAGGAAAACACAAACTTCTGTAGGGAGCACACACCTGTAGGGAGCACCTGCCTAGGCATCCCATTTGGTGAGCAGCACAAACTTGATTCCCACCACTTTCCACCCCTGCACAGATTTGTCTAGCTTGCTTTAGTCAGCTCTTCTTCCCCTACACCTAACATTGTCACCTCATTCCTTTTGGAGTTGGGACCTCATGGTACTTCAGAACATTAGGAAGTTTTTAAAGTAGAGTATATCCAATGTCTTGAAGAATGGCATTTAATTAAAAAATATATTCCCTTAAAATTAAATCCATCATATGTACACTAGCGTTTGTATTATGGAATCAGGAGTATGACAGGGAGCTCCTTGAAGGAATCCTTGACTTTTCGTACAAAGCAGGCCATTGGCAAGTGTTTGTTAAAGCAGAACTAATTGTCATATATCATGAAAAAATGAGCATTTCTTAACTGACATACTCGTATTTATTTTGAAAAACAAGCATCCAAGGAATCAAGGTGAATTGCTCTGTCCCTGCAGAGTCTAAAACTTCTACAGGTCAAGAATAGCACACCACATGGGAAGAGGTTCATGAGGAGCAGCACCAGCACTCAGCAAAACTGTAAGGGGTGAAGTGATCTGTGCACTCCTTTAAACCTGGCACCTCTCTGCCCATTTTCAGTCATGCGACAACATGTGTTTATTGAGCACCTACAATCTGCCAGGTATTGTCCTGGGTCCTTGGGCTACATCTCTGAAAACAAACAAACAAACAAACTGACATTCTACTTCAATTTTCCATTCAATACATTTTTCATGAATACCTACACCATGCCCAAAACTATGCACTTGAAATAGCAGAAACTTAGTGTGGTGTCTGTCCAACAATGAAGCTGTTTGCAAATATGACAAAATTAGAAAGTGGAAATTGTTCAGGTACCATTTATCTTACCTTGTAATGAATTGAAGATGGAGAAGAGGTACGTGAAAGGGATATATAAGGGTCCCCAAGCAAAGAAGGCAAAACCCCATGTCATGCCCAGCAGAAATGTCAGGCTGACCACACTGCGCAGGTTCCGTAAGACCTCTTCCCGCAGGGTCCGGTTGCTCCTTTTGCCGTTCCTTCCGCAGATCTGCACCATTACCACGATGAACATGGCGACATTCAGTAAAAACATGATTCCAAAATACCCAGCACAGGTCACGTAAAATACCACTGGATCCTGAATCCAACAGCTTAAAGGAGAAGAAACAAGAAAGAAAAAGGAATTGATTACCATGCCTGTTGACCTAAGACTTCCCCTGGCTTGGTTCTGGCTTCTGTGGGTCTCACAGCTAGGCCTTTCTCACACACCTTTGGAGAGTCACCTCATTTCTTGGACCTCCATTTCCTTCTTGATGTGTTCATTGTTTTCTTTGTTTTAGATAGCTATCACTTAAAGTCTAGTTATTTAAGTCAAGAGTTGAGAAGAAAACCAGGTAGCTACCTGAATTCTGACTTGGTGTGAGGACACTCTTGGTTGGTTTACCCAACACCATGTCTAACCCCTTTTCTCCTATGTGCCTTCACTCCAGAGAATGGGAAGTTTGAGTGCTCATATTTTCAATCTCTTTTGTATTTAAGGGTTGGTCCTATGGACCTTGTTCTACAAAATGATATGGAAGGAGAATCTGGAGAGCTATCCTGATAAACTCAACTGGCCAGGCCCTTATTCATTCTTTCTGCTTCAAACCTGAGAGCAATCTATGGAGCAGCAGCAATCACCTTATACCTATGAGAGAAAGGCCAACAGAGCTGCAGAGGTTCTGACTCTGACATTTCAGCCATAAATTAATGCCAGTTTATTGCTTATTTCTATGGGTGTCTTTTTTTTTGTCATGCAAGAAGAGTAAATTCCTACTTAAGACACACATAATTGTGGATCTCATACTGCAAAAGAATTCCTATTAATATAGTTGGTCTAGCTGAGGCAAGACCTTATTGTAAAACTGTGACATTCTTATAGTGACATTTCTCATGTACAATTAAAAAACTTACATTAGTTACAATATCCTTATGAAATGAAGAAAGATATACTTGATATTAAAAATTATATATAGATTTGAAAACAGATAAAGGCAATTTAGAAACTGTACTATGTGTAAATGTTCTATGAGTAAATTTAACATGTACTATAATTTGCAGATGTCCCAGGTCCTAATAATAATACTATGAAAGATCTTAGGTACCTCAAAAATTGGATATATTATTTAAGGCATTTAAATTTATCTTAAAATTCTAGTACAAATAGTCACCATTCTGGGTTATGTCTTCCACAGTGGAACATGACTGCCACAAAGGCAAAAGCTACCTTGAACATCTCTGAATTCCAGAATCCAACATGATTCCTGGCATATAGTAAATGCTCAGTAAATGACAGTTGTTGATGGAATAGCAATTTATTAAATGTACTTTAAAGTTCTGTAAGAGGTGACTAACATACTTTTAAGGTTACCTTGTTTAAAACTTATGTACTGACTTTTACTTTTTTTTTTAAAATATATTTTATTGATTTTTTACAGAGAGGAAGGGAGAGAGATAGAGAGTTAGAAACATCGATGAGAGAGAAACATCGATCAGCTGCCTCCTGCACATCTCCCACTGGGGATGTGCCTGCAACCCAGGTACATGCCCTTGACCGGAATCGAACCTGGGACCTTTCAGTCTGCAGGCCGACGCTCCATCCACTGAGCCAAACCGGTTTCGGCCTGACTTTTACTTTTAACATACCTTTTTAGAAAATATTTTTATTGATTTTTTTAGAGAGATGGAAACATCAATAAGGGAGAAACATCTATCAGCTGCCTTCTGCATGCCCCCTACTGGGGATCCAGCCCACAACTCTGGCATTTGCACTGACCAGGAATGGAACCAGGGACCTCTTGGTTCATGGGTCAAGGCTGAATCACAGAGCCACACCAGCAGGGCACTTTTAATATATCTTATTATAAAGATACCCCAAAATGATACTGCTTATCCCTGAAACTCATATTTCTTTACACATGGCAATTCCCTTAGAATCCTGAAATTCCTGACCTAGAACTTTTATTTTATTCTTGTTATTGTGGGGGTCTTTTGGGTGCTACTATGGGAATATAAACTAAGGAAAGACCACAAGAAAATGGGAGAGGCCTGGATATTAATTGGATATAAAAGTGTTTACCATTCATGAAATGTGTATAGTAATGTGGCAGCAGAGTCAGGAGTAAGCTCCTTCATTTATTCAGTTATTCATTCAATTGCATGAGTACCTACTATGTGCCGCATAAAATACAGGGTGCCCCCCCCCCACCAAAATGTATACACACTTTAACAGCTAATAGCTGTTAAATAAAATGTATTTCAATAAACACTGCCTTTATAATTATTCAAAGTGTATGTATACATTTTTTTCTGGAACATCCTGTATGAGAGAAGTAACTACTGAAAGTGAGCAATAGAACCACCTTAGCCTCAATGATATCACAGCCTGAGGAAAATTTTCCAAATTATCCAAGAACACACTGACGTGTCCATTCTCTCCATTTCCATGGAACACTCATATTAGCATTGACTCATTAGCATTATTGTCTGACGCTATTATTTAACTCACTTTAAGATGTACGTGGGTTTAAGGAGGTGGGAGTATTAGGAAATCTCAAATAGAAAGGGTCTTCTGAGCCTAGAAGATAGTATCTGAGACTTCTGCATTTCCCCAGGGGCTCTAAGAGTTCAGGGCATTAAACTGAGTACATCATGGTGTAGTAAAGATCCTGGTAAAGGCAAGCTGATGCATTCTACCTTCAAAAATAAGAGGCTCACTGTTGGCATGGAAACTTACACTAAACTTTAGGAAACAAAGGACATACACTCATTGCAGATAAATTTCCGACAAGTTTTTAGTACTTACAATTCATCACCTTGTTCATTTCCATAACTCTTTTCCCCATAAACTTCACTTTGGCTTCTGCTTGCTAGAACAACTGACACAATGAAGGCAGGTAAACCTGTCATAAAGAGACCACGCCGTGAGCAACATTTCTAAAGCATCTGGAACTGCTTAAGACTGATAATGGCCAGAAAAAAAGAAAACACTTTATATCACAGAATCAAATTTCTTAGAGCTGGCAGCTTGGCTAAAATAACAAATAAATTCTCTTTGGTGTGGAACATCCAACTCAATTGTCAACGATCAAAACCTACTCTTAAATGACAGATATGTAAATATCTGTTTGTTTTCTGGTACCCACTGGAGAGCCAGGAGCTGATTCATATTGAATCTAGGACCAGCAAATGTGGTTTCATTAATGATGCCTGTTAGACCAACTGTTAGTTCAGGCAGCACAGGAATTATAGCTCATTTTTCCCTTTTCTATATATAAAAAAGTCTTGAGAAAAAAATGGGGGAGAAATACCGAGCCATAAAGTCTTTATATTCTTCCTTTTTCTCTCAAGAGAGTCAACAAGTAAAGCAATTCCATGTATATTTCATTGAGAAAAATTACACTGTCCCAATTCCCTTAAAGATGCCTCCTAAAATTGTGAACATCTTGGAAATGGCTCATATTTCTACATTGCAATCTGAAAAAGAGATTTGTGAGAAAGCTCTAAAATGCCTGGTTTGATATAAATCCCAGATAAAGAAAGGAGCCCATTTAGAAGATCCCAAAGAGACTAATACAATCATCCATGTCTGGCTGAGGAATCCCTAGACATTCAAGGAAAGAATTCTGTCAGTATTCTGGTTGCGCACACACAAAACCAACATGCTCTCTCTGGTCTCTAAGACATGGGCATGTGTCTAGGGATGAGTGAGGCTCGGAGTCTGAGCCGGCCTTTATATTTTGAAACATAATGGAAATGCACCACTGCCTGCCAGCTGCCTCTTCAGACGTGGGTGGGCTGGCTCAGGGCACAGGAAGTAAGTTTGTGGTGACTCAGGGCCCAGAGCTTTTGCCTTGACTCCTGCATTTAGTGAGGTCTGTTGAACAGTTTTTACAAACATTATACTTCCTTAAGGTATCGCATCCACATCCTTTGCTCATTTGAAGTTTCTTTGAGCGATGCTATTCTTTCAAGACAGCATTTTTCTATGAGAATGTGGCAATTCCCAGGAAATCGAAAACAAAGCCAGACGTTTTGAGGACGCTCACCCCAGCCAATGATGCAGAATTTCAGGATGTACCGGCGAATGTAAGTGTTAAATACTTTCACCAGAGCAATGTACATGTGGATGGCTTCCAGCCCCATCCAGGTGAAGGTGGCGAGCAGGAAGAAGTGCAGCAGCGCCGCGATGGCGGTGCAGAGCCCCCCCACGTGGAAGGAGGTGATCCAGCCGTCCAGGAGAAAGCAGGTTCAGCT